TTTTTTTTTTTTTTTTTTTTTTTCTTCTCTTGTAGAATGTTAATACATTGTATTTAAGATCGGTTTATGAAGAACGTTTCGCGAGTCTCAACTTAGATAGCGCCACGGAACGCTTCCGAACTCCTTGGGACACGTTCCAATGTCCAAATAGAAACTAATATTGATTGGATACTTAATCGAAGCTGTTTCATTATTTTGTAATTTTTATGAGCTGATGATAAACAAAACTTTTTTCCTCTTTAAGTAATTTATTGTTAGTTCCTTCCTAAAGTCAACAATCCTAGTATCCAAGAGAAGAATGAAGTTATTTTAAAGATACAATCTCACAGAAACAGTGATACAAAGTGGGAGTTCAATTACAATGGGATTCTTTTTCAAATTGCCAATTACCGAGTGGCGCGTATTATTGTAAATGGCAGTAACATTGTTGCAACGATATTGGATGATAGCCCAATGCAGACCAGCAGTTTGCCAACCAGGAGAATACAATTCCTCGAGGAGATTGTAGAAAAGCTGACGCACAAATCCCCAATTTACCATGTCCAATATTTGGCATAAAAGAAAGGAAAAGAAGAAGTGTTACACGCCAGTGTTCTCTATAAGATTCGAGAAACTTAATTAATAACATAAAAAATTAATATTGCGTTAGACTGAAATTTCAAATTGCATCGCTTGAAAGGAACACCAGATCTGACACGACGACAGACATTTAGATATTAATGCGTTGCAACGTGCACCAAGTCGTTGTGCTCATCAGCCCATACACGATTTAAACTGTTACTTAACAATTGCACGACACAGCTCCAGACACTTAAGCCCGCCTCGTTCGGCGTCTGTGCCTTCTTTCGTGTTCGTTTAACCAACTTGATGAGCTAATGGTGGCCCGGTACCGAGGCACGGGACAACAGCAATGCAACAGAAATCCCTTTCGGTAGCAATCTTGCAGACTGTTTGCTCGTAGCTGAGCCACGAACGAGCGTACGTCGTGTCTGCGACGCGACAGAGAAACAGTCGTTATCAATTATCATGTGAAGGTGTGATAGCGTCGTTTGCCGAAAGAACAGTTTTTGGTTTCCTGGCGATCAACGGTGGAGGATCACGGATAACAGGTGAGTCATTTTGAATCTAGAGAATAGAGGAGATCCCACTTCCCAGTGGAGGAACTAAAACAGAAAGTAGAAGATATGTTCTTGGAAGATCTAAAGAAATATTCCACCTGTGTTTTAGCTTAGCTCAGTGTATTTCGTTTTTTTTGGTAGAAACTGAAAGTAGAAGATATCTCCTTGAAAATGTATCAAAATATATAAGTATCTGAAAAAATATTCCACGTGTATTCTTCTTTGAAATATTTCAATGAACTCTGTGCTTCAAATGTAACTCTGACTTTTTCAAGTTTCATGAAATAATTCTTGAATTATTTCAAATTAAATATTAATATATCAAGATATAAAAGATATTCCACATGTATTTTTTTTTTTTTGAAATATTTCAATGAACTCTGTGCTGCTTCAAATCTAATTCTAACTTTTTCAAGTTTCATGAAATAATTCTTGAATTATTTCAAATTAAATATTAATATATCAAGATATAAAAGATATTCCACATGTATTTTTTTTTTTTTTGAAATATTTCAATGAACTCTGTGCTGCTTCAAATCTAACTGTGACTTTTC